TCTCTGGTTGTCCATCTTTCCCCCATGGGCTCAGGGAACTGGAGGGCTATTCAGATTGGCAGAGGGAGCTTAGTGGGTGAGGTTCTCAGGTTGGGAGACCAGAGAGTGTGGCTTCTTTAAGGAGAGGAATTACATCCACAGGCCCAGGGGGAAACCTTCTCCAGCAGAGACAATGAGGTGGGTAGGTATGGGAGGACCGTCAATACTATTTAAGGAAACTGGTTCTGCATTTAATGTCATGGTGTTATTTCTTCAAAGGAAACATGATCCCATTACAATGTTGTTGCTGATGGACGTTGTCCAATCGATTTGAACTCAGAGTGACTGTGTGTGACAGAGTAGAACTGCCCATAGGGTTTCCTTGGTTGTAAACTTTATGGGAACAGATCATCAGGGCTTTTTCTCAGGGAGCCGATAGGTAAGTTCCAACTGCCAACCTTTGGGTTAGGTGCTGAGCACTTCACTGCTGTGCCACCAAGGGTCTTTAAAGTGCAATATAGAAAACACAAAGGAGCTCTGGTAACGTAGTGGTTATGAATTGGGCTGCGAACCACAAGGTCAGCAGTTCGAAACTACCAGCTGCTCCGCGGGAGAAAGCTGAGGCGTTCTGCTCCCATAAAGATTTACAGCTTCAGAAACCCTGTTCAGTCAGGGTCGCTATGGGTCGGAACTGACTCGACGGCACTTAACAACAACAACAACAACAACATAGAGAACACATGCCAGGGAAATGGGGTCTTAGACGTTCTCCCAGTCAGACATTTCCTTTGAGAGCGGCCCTGGACAACCCAGGGCCCAGCATGGCCTGGGGTTCCTGTGCGGTTGGCTGCCTTTCCTGACCATTAATCGCTACTAAGTGTCATTACCACTAATAAAATTAACCGACTTTATACTGGACTCCTGAAGCCATCAATCACTGGGCCTATTACATGAAATTTAAAACACTGGTGCCTGTTGGTAGGTGCAAGAGTGCTGCTGAGCCGTACACTCAAAGGCAGCCTGGGGGACTCTGGTGCTCCATGGCCAACAATGGTTATGATAGGGTTGCACCCTTAATGAGAAAAACCAGTCACCGGTCTTTACACTGTAAGGTGTGTCAGGCAAGAACTTGGGCGGTCCTCAGGAACACTTGAGGACCAGGACCTAAAAAGCTGCTCAAATTCCTTTTCTCGTTCTCACTTCTGCTTTTCTCCACATTTTCTTTCTCTTTGAGCCAGTTTCTTCCATCTTCTGTGTTACAGGCTCAACCTCCCAGAGAAAGAACTATTTTCTCTACAAATTCAAGATTCCCAGAGAAAGAATCAATTGGCCCTGCTTTTGTCACGTGATCACTATTCATTCAATCAATTGGCTAGAGCAAGGTCATGTGGTATAAAATGGTTACTAGAGTTCACACAGCAATATTGTAGATGGAACGGGTAGCTGACTAACCTAATAGGTGCCCACAATAATAATTTAAAGAACTTAATTGTAAGTACTCAAAAAGCCATTGCTAGAACAATGTTATCTTTAGCTACTGTCCCCAATCACAGAACAAAACGCGGCTCATTCCTGTGCCATCCTCATGATTGGTTGGACCCTGTGCTCCATAGTTTTCATTGACTGATGTTTAGAAATCGATTGCCAGGGCTTTCTGCCTTGTCTCTTATTCTGGAAGCTCCATGAAAACTTGTTTAGCCTCATAGCAACATCCAAACCTCCATGACAAATGGGTGGTTACTGAACATGAGGAACAATCGGCCAGAAATCCAACCCAATGTATTGGAAGTACAGTGGCTCTATACTGTAAGCACTGGGCTACAAACCACAAGGTAGATAATTCATGCTCACCAGCCACTCTGCAGGAGAAAGATGAGGCTTTCTGTTCCCACAAACAGGTATAGCCCTGGAAACCCTATACTGGGTCATTATGAGTCAGAATCGACTTGACAGCACTTATATATTATATTTAGATAATGTATAATACAAGGAGCTCTGGTAGCATAGTGGTTACAAATTGGGCTGCTGCCCTCAGGGTCAGTAGTTCGAAACTACCAGCTGTTTTGCGGGAGAAAGATGAGGGTTTCTGCTCCCATAAAGATTTGCAACATCGAAAACCCTATGTAGGGTCACTATGAGTCAGAACTGACTCCACGGTACTTAATAACAACAACAACAACAACAACAACAACAACAATATATAATACAGTTACATTGTTGTTGTGTGCCACTGAGTTGATGCTGGCTGGTAGCATAGCTGTATAATAGAGTATTGTTGCTAAGTGCCCTTGAGTCGGTTCTGACCCATAGAGACCCTGTATAGGGTTCCCAAGGAACAGCTGGTGAGATTGAACCGCAGATGTTGCAGTTCAAACCAACATTGCAGTCCAGCACATTAACCCACAGCGCCACATCCCAGGACTCCACAGCAGAGACTACCCTACCCCATAGGATTTCCTAGGCTACAATCATCATGGGAGCAGATCCCTAGGTCTCTGCTCCTGCAAAGCACCAATGTTGTTGTTGTTGTTGTTATGTGTCGAGGAGTTGGTTCCGACTCATAGCGACCCTGAACAGGGTTTCCGAGGCTGTAAATCTTTACGGGAGTAGAAAGCCTCATCTTTCTCCCACGGAACAGCTGGTAGTTTCAAACTGCTGACTTTGAGCTTCGCAGCCCAACTCATAACCACTACACTACCAGAGCTCCTTACTTACTCTTAAAATGGCATTTGAGATGGACCTTGAAGGATGTGCAACCCCATTGGTCAAATTCCCATCATTCCCTGCTTGTTATCCCATCTGCCAATCAACTGCTACAAAAGAAGTTCCCAAAACATAGGCCTTGTGTGAGCAGAAATTGCCCCTCACACCAGGCCCTGGTGCAGAGAAGGGACCTTTTAAAGCGCTAGTTGGCTATTCTGCCCTTTGTTCCTACAGCCCAAGCTTCCCCCCACGCTGGAAACCTGTCCAGGTAGGGCTTCCTCAGCTCAGGTTGACATTGGGTTCTGCTCAGAACCTTCCCAGGGTCAAGTTGTCAGGGTTTCCTGCCAGGCTACAGGGAGGGACTTCGATGTCGACCTGGTGGACTGGAAATTTACCCATTTGCCCCCAGATTAATGATTAACGGGCCCCTGCCCTCACCCTGTCTGGGAGAGGAGCCCAGGGCCAAGCTGGGCAAGGCGGAGCCCGATAGCATCTGTCTCTGCTCAGAGGTTTCGGAGATATGCTCCACACTGGGTTGGCTGCATCTGATGGATTTGGAGTCTATGGGCACTTTCTGGGGGCACCTGGGGCTTGGCCAGGACCCACATCCTCTGGTGAAGTTTCCTGCTCCTGAGGCAAATGGAGAGGGGATGGCGTCCAGCCAGATGGCCTGGCTGAGGCAGGTGGTTCCAAACAGAAGAGTCATGCCCTTGACTCAGTGGGACATGGGTTTCTCTGACCATTAAGGCTTGGCCACTGGGCTAGTGGACTGTGAGCAGGAATGACAAATGCTGTATCTAAGCAGGAACTCTAAGATTCGTCACCTGGCTCTACCATTGCTGTTTTTCCCTGGCTAACATGTCCCAGAAAGGTACTGCTCCCTCCACATGGGGCTCTACAATGATGTATACTCCATCAACACTGAGGGGCACCAGGGCAGGACCCCGTACAGTGGTACAGCAAACGTTTTGAACTAGTAGAACCATCTCACAGAGGGCTTCTGGGAAGAGGGAAGGCCAACTCTAATTCTCATTCCCACCTTGCCGCTGATCTGTCATATGACTCGGGCCAGTAACTGCCTCCTCATAAAACTTTTGTTTCATCTGGACAAAAGGGGAAACTCTGCCAAGATTAGAGAGTAAAACATAACATCTTTCAAGAGGAAAGAAGTTTGAGAAACTCCAGCTAGCAGAAGTGTCTCAGGCATTGTTAGTACTTTTTATCTTTTCATATGACCCTCCCAGAGACCCTAGGAGGAAAATAGGATCACTCTTTCCACTTTCCAAAGGAGGAAAACCAAGACTCTAGGGTTGAATGTTAAGGACGTGGCAGATCAGACTTATAACTTGGGTAGCCTCCAGAATCTATGACTATACAAAGAAGCTTCACAAAGCTGATGGGAAAAGCTTTTAGTTCCATTTTTCCATAAACTTTTTCAAGCCCCCTCATAGTAATAAGAAGTCTGAGACTAATGTTGTTGTGAAGTGCCATTGAGTCGGTGCTGAACCATAACAACCCTGTATAGGGTTTCCGAGGAGCTTCTGGTGAACTTGCACCGCCGACCTTGCAGTTCAAGTGGCTTTGCAGTCTGACACATTAACCCACAGCGGCACACCAGGACTAATAGTCAGATGGAAATTTAGCTCCTTCACCTTCATCCAACCAGGCTTCCTTCCATCCATCTGTTCATCCATCCATCCAGGTATTTCCTCGGCATTTCCTTTGTACCTGGCACCAAGTGGCCAGATGGTTGAAGATGCATCTAGGAAATAGGGAAACAAGTCAGGTTAGTGGGACTACTTGGTGGCAACATACTGTAAGGGAAAGAGGAAGCCAGAGATCTTAGAGATCCTGATTGGGTGCTGTGGTCTCCCCTCGAAGCAGCAGCCAGGACGATGTGCAGCATTTGTTAAATTTCTCCAATCATAGAAGTCACCCAGGGAACTTGCTAAAATGCAGATTCCAAGGCCCCAGACCAGACCAATGGAATCAAAATAATCAAATGTGGATCCTGGGAATCTATAGTTTAATCAACACCCCAGATGACTATTCTCATTGCTAAGTTTAGAAATAGAGTGGGTAAGAAGAGCAGAGACTAGAAAACTTGGGTTTGAGGTTTTATACTAGCCCTTGTTACAAGCATCTTGGTTTCTTCCTCTGTAAGATGAATGTGGATGGGGCACCATGGGGCCAGCCTGCCACCCAGAAAGACAGTAAGTAAAACCCCTCAGAAGACTGACCCCTCCACCTGCCCCAGCTCCTCAAGGATTGTCATCTCCTCCAGGCTCACTCTGTTCCTCTTCTCTCGCCCTCTCCAGCCTGACCGGGCGGGAGGTCCTGACGCCCTTCCCTGGGCTGGGTGCTGCGGTGGTCCCTGCGCAGGGTGGGGCCCACCTGAAGCAGTGTGACCTGCTGAAACTTTCCCGTCGACAGAAGCAGATGTGCCGGCGTGAGCCAGGCCTGGCTGAGATCCTGCAGGATGCGGCACACCTGGGCCTGCTGGAGTGTCAGTTTCAGTTCCGGCAAGAGCGCTGGAACTGTAGCCTGGAGGGCAGGAGTGGCCTGCTCAAGAGAGGTAGGGCTGGAGACCCCCATGAGCAGGTACATGGTCCCTGTCAATCCGGTATCAAACCCACCAAACCCTAGCAGTCTTATGGGAGCAGGCAGCTTCATCTTCCTCTAGCGAAATGGCTGGGGAATTTGACCTTGCAATTAACTGCCCACTGCCTTGCCTTGGTGTGGCGCTGTGGGCTAAGCCGTTTGAACTACAAGGTCAGTGGTTCAAGCTCACCAGCTGCTCCTTGGAAACCCTATATAGGGTCTCTATGGGTCGGAATCGACCTGACGGCACTTAACAACAACAACAAGCCTTGCCCACAGCCCAGCCAGGACTCCTTAACCAGCCCAGCCCAGTCCTCAGCAATGACTTGGTCCGACTTGCTCCCCCACTGACTTGGAATCCAGCTCACTGGCATGTCAGTGTCCTTCTCTAGAGAGACAGTCACCCTGATCTGCCATCCTCTATGACTCTGGGCACACACTCCCCCATTCCCTGTCTCCATTTCAATGAAAATTCTCAATGTTCATGGTAACTTTCAATTTTCATTTTGTAGATTTAATTTCCAGTTTCAGTTTTTCTTTTTACCACATACCTTATTTATTGTTTTTGTTGAAAAGATATACAGCTGAACACAGAGCAATTCTACAATTTCTCCAAGGATAACTTTGACATTGATAATGTTCTTGGAGTTGTCCAATCATCCACCTTTACTGAGTCGTTCCTCCACCATTAACACCAAGTCACTACCTTCAAGTAGCTGTTGTCAATTTCATACCACATATAGAAAGTTCTTTACAGTTTCAATCCTTCTATTTGAAGGGGATGGGTGAGAGGGAGATGTTCCCAGATCTCTGTCCCTGGGATCACCATAGTACCGCCTCCTCTGCCTAGTAAACCTACTCCCTTACCCCCTCCCCTGGGTGCCTGCACAGGTTTCAAGGAGACAGCCTTCCTGTATGCAGTGTCTTCCGCCGCCCTCACCCACACGCTTGCCCGGGCCTGCAGTGCAGGGCGCATGGAGCGCTGTACCTGTGATGACTCCCCGGGTCTGGAGAGCCGACAGGCCTGGCAGTGGGGTGTGTGTGGTGACAACCTCAAGTACAGCACCAAGTTCCTGAGCAACTTCCTGGGCCCCAAGCGAGGAAGCAAGGACCTGAGGGCACGGGCAGACGCCCACAACACCCATGTGGGAATCAAGGTGAGAGATCCTGTCCCCAGATGTCCACAGCACCTTCCCCAGTCAGAGTATTGAACTAGGGAGAAGGGTCTATAGGAGGCCAGCAGCTCCCGACACACACACAAAACATGCATGCAAACACGTGTATACGCACACTGAGCCACCGGGATGTGTCTTTTCTCCAGAAAACATCCCCTGATCATCTATTTGGGACCAGTACCAGAAGCCAGGAATATGGTGAAAAAAGGAAGGCACCTGGGTATCATGAGTGTTTGGGTCAGCAGGTAGGATCCAGGCTAGGCGCTGGGCCCTAGTGAGGCCTGAGTATGTTTGTACAAGGGTCTCTGTTTCTGAGCACTGAGTTTTCCTGGAGGAGCTAGAAGCCAACATTGTTTGCAAACTTTGATTTAGTACAATCCATTGTAAGGAGCTCTGGTAGCGTAGTGGTTATGAGTCGGGCTGCCAACCTCAAGGTCAACAGTTCGAAACTACCAGCAGTTCCACGGGAAAAAGATGAGGTGTTCTGCTCCCGTAAAGATTTACAGCCTCGGAAACCCTGTGCAGGGTCACTATGAGTTGGAATCGACTCCACAGTACTTAACAACAACAAAATTGTAAGGTAGGAGGATGGAGAAGGAGACCTCGAGAGGGAGAGTGTCTTGGCCAAGGTTACAGTGAGGTAACTCTAGGTAATACATAGCCAGGTCTATGGAGGTAGAAGTCTGGGAAAGGTTGTTCATTAGTGAGTTCTGCCTTCTGCGTCCGTTGTTATTGGGTACCAATGAAATCATTTTCAACTCATAGAGCCTCCGTAGGATATCCTTGGCTGTAACTTTTACAGGATCAGCTTGCCAAGTCTGCCTCCCATGGACCGACTGGGTGGGTTCAAAATGCTAACCTTTTGCTTAGTGGCCAAGTACCACCAGGACTCCTGTGACCCAGGCTAAGGGGAGCCATAGAGGAGTTTTTCACAGAGATGCAGCAGGAGCGGGCTTTGGTCTCATTCAGGCCCTCCTGTCTCTGTCCCTTCCTGCTGCCGCTCCCCTGCCAGGTGTGGAACCCTGGAGCAGTCAGCAGGCCCTCAGACGGCATCCCCCAGGTCTCTGATCTCCCTGCCCTCTCTGCCCCTGCAGACCGTGAAGAGTGGCCTCAGGACCACCTGTAAGTGCCACGGCGTGTCAGGCTCCTGTGCTGTGCGTACCTGCTGGAAGCAGCTCTCCCCATTCCGAGAGACGGGCCAGGCACTGAAGCTGCGCTACGACTCTGCTGTCAAGGTGGCCAGTGCCACCAATGAAGCCCTAGGCCGCCTGGAGCTTTGGGCACCCCCCCGGCCAGGTACCCCTGCCAAAGGCCTGGTGCCCCGGTCTGGGGATCTGGTCTACATGGAGGATTCACCCAGCTTCTGCCGGCCCAGCAAGTACTCACCAGGCACAGCGGGCAGGGTATGCTCCCGGGAGGCCAGCTGCAGCAGTCTGTGCTGTGGACGTGGCTATGACACCCAGAGCCGCCTGGCCGCCTTCTCCTGCCACTGCCAGGTGCAGTGGTGCTGCTACGTGGAATGCCAGCAGTGCGTGCAGGAGGAACTTGTATATACCTGCAAGCACTAGGTGTGTGGCCCAGTGTGCCAGCTGTGAGGTCACCCAGCTGTTTAGCAGCCCTCTGTACTTGCATGCACACACCGATGTCCATCCAATGCACACATGTGTGCAACTCACCATTCCTCTCTCTGTTGCCCCTTGTCCAACCTTTTCTCTCCCTTAACACTCAGCAAAGTTAAGTGTGGGCTCCCCTCAGAGCCCCAGAGTCTCCAGTGTGTTGGGAACTTGGAGCAGGAGGGCAGAGTGGGAACAAACATGAGGGAAATCAAGGAGAACAAAAGTAGGGGAGGGCTGAGTTCTTGGAGGAGAGATGGGAGCATCTGCCATTTTGATTCTTAGGATGAAGTGTTGGGAGCCAGCAGGATGGTGAGGGGTGAGTTTCTGGGCCAGGGATGCAAAGGCAGGTGGAATCTGGCACATGGGACAGCTCAGCCCTTGGACACTGCTCCCACTGCAGTGAGCCCAAGGACTACACTTTTTCATTCTCCTAGGACTTTGTGGGGCTGGAGATGGGGAGAAAGGCCAAGTGGTAAGAGGTGCTTGTTTAGAGAAAGGTAAGTTTTCTGGGCTTGAGTGGACCCAAGTCAGGTATGTGTGCTAGAGTCTTGTGTCTTCAGTTTGACTTTAAAAAACATCTGCGCTGAGGTCCCATTTTTAGCTGGAGAGCTGCAGTCCTCACACCACCAGACACTGGTCTGTAAAACACTAATGAGAGTGAGAGAGGTAGAGAGAACCAGTCCCCAAGGTGGGCTTCAGCCTAGGTACTTGAGATTGTACAGGGAGACAGAGACCCCTTGTCTGTTTCCCCGATGGCCAGAGGAACCTTTGATCCCAGCCTGGAAGAGGTTGATTCAGCCCCTTGCGGAACCTGCTTTGATCAACTCCCTGTGGCTGGGATCTGCCCAAGTGGGGAGCCCCAACACCACCTGATGTTGCCACACAACAGTTCCTTTATGGGTTAGGATTCTGCTTACGTCAACGCTTATGGCTAGGAAGCTAAGTAAGTCTTTTGTCTGGCTGCAGTATTCTAAGCCTGGCTCCTTAGCAGACCCTTTACTGAATCAGTTCCAATTCATAGCGACCCTGTGTAGGGTTTCCCCTCGCTTTGTTCCCATTTTGGCTCTTCCTCGAGGGATACAAATGAATTTTCTAATAATTCCTTCTGATCTTGTGGAGATTTCCAGTGTCCCCTCGTAAGAGTCTTGTATGGGGAGGACAAGTGAGAAATTGGCACATTCACACACCTGCACACACATGCCAGGCTGAGGTTCCCACCTAGTAGGGAACACCTCTCTGTTCAGGATGAAGACCACACAGGAGTCATTGGCTGGAGGATGTATGCATCGCCAGAGCAGGGCTCAGTGCCAGCCACAAGGAAGCGACTAGTTTCCGGAAGCCCTCGGTCACTCTGCTGGCCCTGCCACGCCCCTCTGTCAGCTTCCTTTCTCCCTGAACCCAGAGTTGCTGACCATCCATTGAAATAGGAAACTTCAGAATCAGCTAAATGCTGAGCCCCAGCGAGCTCCCTGGATCTCCAAGGGCAAGAAGATGCTGGACCAGGGAAGGCACTCTGCAGGAGCTGAAGGATCTTTGGTTGCAAAGGTTCTGAGGAGACCATGAGACCTCTCCCTGGACTGTCTGTGCTAACTCCAACAGCTGGCCCATGCTTGGCAGGAAGAGAAAAGAGGCGGGGTAGGAGGCAGGTTTTCCAGCTTCTTCTATTCCCCTTACTGTGTGGAGACCACCATCGTCCAGGCCCAGCTAGCTCTCTGAGACCTCAATTCTGCATCCATGCTGGCTCAGCACTGGGCAAGGGTGGCAGAGGCCTGTGGTTGGGACCAGAGTACCCTCCCCTGCCAGCATGCCTTCTGCATCCCAATGCCACACACAGGAAGGACAAACCCATGCTGCTAACACAGTGGTGCAGGTGTGGGCTCTGAGGATCCCTTGATCTTTGGGGCCCTCTTCCATCCTTACTCCCAACCCTCTTCCTCTTCCAGTCACCCCTAAAGGTTCACGTAAGCACTGCTGGAGCCCCTCAGGATCACAGTGACCACTGACCCTTCATTCTGCAGCTTTAAGGGAAGCACTCACAGGGTATTTTTGTCTACCTCACATATCTAGTTTTTAGGGCAAAAGAGAATAATTTATATAGCTAAGATATATCAGAAAATATTTATGTTATTTATATAGTTTCTCTACTCTATGGACAGCAAGGTGGGCTTTGTAGGTTCTGCCAGAGGTCGTCTGTGGAGGTACAGGTGGCTAGGGAGGAGGTCACATGGACTCCATGTCCGGAGACCAGGTCTGTCTGGGACCAGATTGCCATCGCGTCTGTACATGGGTCCTAGTGGCCATGATCTTGATTCTCCTTATGATGTCTTTGTAAATTTTCTGCTCTTTCATCCATCCATCCCAAGCCCTTCTTCTGCTCTGATAATACTGTCCTGCTTATAATAATAATGACAAGGATGGCCACACCTTTCTATTATAAAGCACTTTTGATTTTCAGCAATCCCTTTGCCCTTTAATCTCATTTGATTTCCCCAATATCCCTGTGAGATAGGTTGGGCCACACTCTTGTGCCCATTCTATGGATGAGGCCCCAAATGATGGAGGACTGTGCTCAAAAACACAGTTTGTTCAATGAAAATTGACTAACCATTTATCTATCCGTGCCAGACACTCGGCAGTCACATCCAGGAGCGTAGGGCCCGGAGGTATCCTGAATCCCTGCTCCCCACCCTTCAGTGCAACTCTGACTTGCTCTATGTCCATGAGTCCCCAAATGTGGATGCCATCCTGAGCCCAGGATCCAGAGAGTGTCTCTTTCCTGGTGGGAGTGACCTGGCCTTTCGAATCTGAGTGGCATGTGGGCCTTTTCTCCGTGAGGAGGCTCGTGTCTCTGGAGCTGCTGAGTTGACGACTCCGCGCTGCAGAGACGGCTGGGCTTCATCACAAGGCTCTTCCCAGGCAGGAGATGGGCTTTGCGGGGCTCTCTTGTGTGTGTGTTTTGTTTTTAAAGAATTGCTTTCCACTTGAGTTCTGTCATCTCTTGAAAACACAGCTTGTAAACCTGCATTCCCACCTGACTTCAGTCAGCTTGAGGGAGACGTCCCTTCAGACAGAACACGTGAATCCACCCCACTCATGGATTCACCTGCCTGCCACTCATAAGCATGTCTGTGTATCCCAGGGTCTAGATAAGTCCAGTTTCCCTGGTGTTCCCCTATGAGACAGACAGATATGTGTCAACTTTTGAGATTATGTCTTGCTCTCCAAATCTTCCTTTCTCAACAACCATATATTCCAAAATGGTTTTTTGTCTAAACAAATGTTAGAATACAGTGGGAGCCACTACTTACTGGTTCCCATTCTTCAGTCTCACATTGTTTGGAAATCTCCTAGGTGTCCAGTAGCACCCTGGTCTTACAAGTGAGCAAGACCAAGTCCCTGCGCGCAGGGGTTGCCATTCTAGCAGGGGAGATAGGCGAAAAACCAATAAATGACACCTCAGTTACTTGTGCCTACTTTGTCTCTCTTTATTGCAACACTAACCCTGCCTGTGGGGATCACCACCCCCATCTGACAAGAGCAAAGGGATATGAGACTGGGAGCTCATGAATGCCACTAGCAAGTTGTGGTGTCGGGATTTGAATACAGATCTGCTGGCCTCCAGAGCATGAGTTCTTTGCTGTCTCCACTACTGCCTCTCCTCAGGTGGAGAGAGGAGAAGGGTGGGCCACCCCATTTCATGGATTCTGCATAAACTGAGGCCTAGAGAGAAAAGCTGTTGTTGTTGTTGTTAAATGTTGTCAAGTTGGTTCAGACTCCCTGTGGGGATCACCACCCCCATCTGACAAGAGCAAAGGGATGTGAGACTGGAAGCTCATGAATGCCACTAGCGAGTAGTGGTGTCAGGATTTGAATACAGATCTGCTGGCCTCCAGAGCATGAGTTCTTTGCTGTCTCCACTACTGCCTCTCCTCAGGTGGAGAGAGGGGAAGGGTGGGCCACCCCATTTCATGGATTCTGCATAAACTGAGGCCTAGAGAGAAAAGCAACCCACTCAAATGTAGCCACCAGCTCAGTGGCAGAGCAGGCCCGAGCTGGGACTCCCTGGAGTTGATCAGTATTTCTAGACCCCTCATGTTGTGGCCAGCAATGGGGGTTGAGTAGGGGCAGGAGAAAGCAAGAGGGAGCTTTCAGAGACTCAGGTTCCCACAAAAGGAAAGCAGGCAGCACACCACGTCTCGAGAGTCCCTCCTCTGGTCACGCTGCCTGTCCAGAGGCTTGAGGAAGTACAGGACCTCATCAAGCCACCACTCTGACCATAAGGAGACCCCTTTCTGAGCAAAGGGCAGGTCCACATTGACCCCAGTCCCCAGGAAGGGAAGTCTCACTTCCTTGTCATTTTCTACCTGGCACCTGGGGTTCCTTCCTTTAACTACTCATCTAGCAGACATTGATTGTCCACCTGGGGTGTAACAGGCTGGTGTGTGACAAGACCAAGTCACCTACATCTTCACCTGTGCTGCCGTCCAAAAGTGCTCCTTCTGCTCAGGGCTCCTGGGCCTACAGCCCAGCTAGTTCTGAGCAACGGCAGACCCTTGTCACACAGCAGCAGACCTCAGGTTACCCAGGGTTTTCTTTCCTGTACTCTCGCTGGAGCCTCCCAAGGTGGACTCCATGTTCCCGTTTTAAAGGCAGGACAGAGTAAACTGCTCCATGGGGTTACTGAGACCGTAAGTCTTAATATAAGCAGACTACCTCGTCTTTCTCCCATGGGGTCACTGGTGTGTTCGAACCACCAACCTTTCGGTTAGCAGTCCAAAGGAACCCTCTGCACCACTAGGGCTCCTGACTCTATGCCAGTGATTTCTGAAGATACATAAAGTCATCTCCCCACATGTCTGATTTCCAACTGGGAAAACATAGTCACTGTCTAACCAATAAACAGCCTGCCCAGGTCCTGTTCCACAAGAAAGCCAGCAAAAGACCAGAGAAAT